ACTGTATGGCTAGGGCTATGGGTTGGATGAAGAGTAGTTCGATGGCTATGAGTATTGGGATAAGGGGGGTGGGTGTGACTTGGGGTAGAAGGTGAGCTAGAGATTCTTTTTTTGTGTGGCATAAACCTAGGATCACCGTTCTGGCCCACAGGGGGATTGCTATGCCTAAGTTTAGGGATAGTTGGGAGGTTGGTGTGAATGAGTGGGGCAGCAGGCCTAGTAGGTTTGTTGAGCCAACAAATAGGATTAGTGAGGTTAGTATTAAGTATCGTGATTGTCCTTTGGTGTTGCGGGTTGCCATCAGTTGTTTCAGAATAAGTTGGATTAGTCATATTTGTAGAGAGGTTAGGCAATTGTTGATGAGGCAGGAGGGAAGAGGACACATTGCGTTGGGTAGGAGAATGATGAGGGCTATGATGGGTATTCCCATTAGCGTGGGGGTGGTAAAAGAGGTGAATAGATTTTCGTTCATTTTTTTTCTCATAGATTTGTGTGTTTTGGTATTTTAGTAATTTTTTCGGCGGGGTTAGAGGGGTAGGTGAATTTTGAGAGTTTTAGTTGAAGTATAATGAAGAGCATTAGGATTATAAATATAATGGAGGTGAATCATGTTGAGGTATCTAGTTGTGGCATCTCATTGTGGGAAGGCCAGTGCTTCCATTCCTTAACTTAAAAGGTTAATGCTATTTAGCTTCACAATGTGCTTATAGTGTTAAGGTTGATCAATTTTCGAAGTGTTTGAGTGGGACAAGTTCAAGTACGGTGGGCATGAAGCTGTGGTTTGAGCCGCAGATCTCTGAGCATTGTCCGTAGAATAGGCCTGGTCGCGTTGCTCTTAGGGTTGTTTGGTTTAGATGTCCTGGAATCGCGTCCGTTTTTAGGCCTACTGAGGGTACGGTTCATGAGTGTAGCACGTCTTCTGATGAGATTAGCATGCGGACTGGGGTTTCTATTGGGAGTACTGTTCGGTTGTCAACTTCTAGGAGTCAGAGCTCCCCTGGTTTTAGGTCGGGGTTGGGAGTTATGTATGAGTCAAAGTTTAGGTCTGCGTAATCTGTATATTCGTAACTTCAGTACCATTGGTGGCCCATGGCTTTGACAGTTAAGAGGGGGTTATTGATTTCATCTGTTATATAGAGGATTCATAGTGATGGAAGGGCGATTGAAGTTAGGATAACAGCGGGTAAAATAGTCCATATGGTTTCTACCATTTGGGCGTTTATAGTGCTTGTGTGCGTGAGTTTTGTGGTTAATATTAGGGAAATGATATAAAGGACTAAGGAACTGATTAGGAACACTATTATGACGGTGTGGTCACGGAAGTATAATAGTTCCTCCATGATGGGGGAGGAGGCGTCTTGAAGTCCTGCTTGTAATGGGTGTGCCACAGAGATATAAAGGATTCGGGCCTATAAGTTGACTCTGACGAAGTCACGTAATGTTTTTACTAATATCTCACTTGTGGGGAAAGTCATAGAGGCTATGGGGTTGGCTTGAAACCATTCTTGGGGGGTTCGATTCCTTCCTTTCTCATTGGGTCTTTACATTTACCGGTTCCTCAAATGTGTGATAAGCAGAGGGGCAGACGTGCAGTCATTCTAGATTTGTGGTGAGAAGTTCTACCTTTGAAACTTCTCGTTTTGAAGTGAAGGCTTCTCATGTTATGAAAATTATTAATATAACCACTGTTAAGGAGATAAATGATCCTATGGATGAGACTGTATTTCATATGGTGTATGCATCTGTGTAGTTGGAGTATCGTCGTGGTATTCCTGATAGGCCTAGGAAGTGTTGTGGAAAGAATGTCAGGGTTTTTTTTTTTTTTGTCCTTTTTGAGACCGGCTGCACTGTGCTCAGCCAGTGAGCGCACTGGCCATCCCTATATAGGATCCGAACCAGCGGTGGGAGCGCTGCTGCACTCCCAGTGCCGCACTCTCCCGAGTGCGCCACGGGCTCGGCCCTAAGAATGTCAGGTTTACACCCACAAATATGACCGTGAAGTGAATTTTAGCTTAAGTGGCGTTGAGGGTGTAGCCTGAAAGTAGAGGAAATCAGTGGACGAAGCCTCCTATGATAGCGAATACCGCTCCTATGGATAATACATAGTGGAAATACGCTACTAGGTAGTATGTGTCATGAAGTACAATGTCTAGTGACGAGTTGGCTAGTACAATTCCTGTCAGGCCCCCTATTGTAAATAGGAAGATGAAGCCCAGGGCAGGAGATCATTTGATATTTCCTCCGTGCAGTGTGGCTAGTAAGCTGAATACTTTTATGCCTGTGGGAATCACGATGATTATTGTGGCTGATGTGAAGTATGCTCAAGTGTCTACGTCTATTCCTACTGTAAATATGTGGTGGGCTCAGATGATAAAGCCCAAAAAGCCAATGGATATTATAGCCCAGACCATTCCTATATATCCAAATGGTTTTTTTTTTTTACCTGAGTAATAGATTACGATGTGTGAGACTATTCCAAAGCCAGGGAGAATGAGGATATAGACTTCGGGGGGTGTAAGGTATCTGCATACTTTAACTTGTGGTAATGTGAGTTGCTAGATCATTTTGTGATGAAACTTTAGCAATATTTATAAAAATTTACAATTGTCACACCTTCTTTAACCCAATTTCTGCTTTACTATGTCTTTCCTGTATGAAACCATGAACATTTACACAGAAATTCATGTTCAAAGGCATCAATTTCAGTTCTATTAATCATAATTAATGGGGAACAACTTACGTGAACATTAGGAGGAGAATGGTTATTTCTGGCACAAACACCCTTTAGAATTCTATGAAATAGTTTAAAGCATGAGGTGGATCTATATGTGCTGTCACAGAAAGATCCTGCGTTCATTTCATTAAGTGACAAGAGCAATATGGCAGAACATAACAAGTAGCAGAACAATATGTACAATGTTACCCGTGTATGTTAAAAACTTAATATATTTTATAGCACATCTACGTATGAAAATGCCTGGAATCAGCTTTAAAATGACACATACCAGATTGTTAATTGTGGTTACTTTTGAAAAGGGGGCTGAATTTGGAGGAATGTTTTAAGGGGAGAAATTGTGATTTATCTGTATTAAATTTTTTTACAACAAGAATATATACACAACTATTAACTCAATCATTAAAATATTTAAATAGGCCTAACAATAGAAATAGTAAATGTGTATTACGCAGAAAAAGTAAGTGCTAACTGACGCCATAGAAAAAAACCTAAAATTTGAATAGCTTAATACAACAAAAATTTGTTTCTTGTGCACACAAAATCTGATGTGGGTTGGCAGAGGCTCTCTGTTAATAGGTGACCCAAGGATGCAGGCTGCTTCCATCACGTGGCTCCACACCTTACCATGGGCTCCCCATGTTTGCTGTTGAATGTAAGAGAAAGCATGGAGGTGTCAGACTAGCTCTCATGTGCCTTGACCTGGAGGTGACAAACATGCATCTGCTTATGTTTCAGTGATAAGAGTTAGTCACATAACCCTTACTAACTATAAGAGGACTGGGTTCCCAGGGCTAGTGGCAGCAGGACCCCAGGCACAGGAAGCCCACAGTCCCAAATTGTGTTTGATGCTCATTTTCACCTGGCTTCTTTAGGCCTGCTTTTAGTGCTTTGGCCACAGAGTACTTCCTATCACTTGAGAGACATTGTGGAACAGTGAGAAGAGAAATGAATGAATAGACACAAGATCTGCCTCAGGCCGGGAGGAGAGGAAAAGGGTGAGCTCTAGAGGAATTCAGACCAAGGTCTAGTCCCAGCTGTATCACTTACCAGCCACGTGAACTTCAGAATATTGCAAGTTCTCCATCTGCCAGTGAGTTTGACAAGCCCCATCTCACAGGATTGTTAGAAAATATGTAATCTGTGTAAAGCACCTGGCAAAATGACTGGCAAATATTGGATCTTTAATGAATGGCAGTTTTTACTATGATTATATTAATACCAGAAGAGACTATTCTCTTCTCTGGGAATTCTTTATTTTATCCAGATGTCAGAAAATATTCAGTGCTTTAAAACAAACAAACAAAAACCCCAAATAAGCTACAGTGCTGCTAAGCAAATAACAGAAGTAAATTTTCCCCATTAGAGAATGCTATTTCTCTAATAGATTCAACTCAAAGTTTGCAGAATTTATGTTAAGGACCAACAATGCCCCTCCTTCCTAGATGCCCTCCGCAACAAAAATACTCCTATTTATTTTACCACTAATAAACTTTAGCCGTATCTTGGAGTTTTGCCAAATTATATGCAAAATAACCCAATTAATGAAATAGGCTCTGGCTCCCCCAGCTCAGGGCAAAGAGTGCCAGCTTAATAGCTTTTTAGCATCTCACCTCAAGGGGGTATCATCCTTATTTCTCAGAAACTCCCTGGAGACAATATGCACAGCACACCTGGTTTCTGCATTGTGTTCAACTGTACTGGGACAAGAGCGTTGTGCATCTTTCTTTTCTACCTTAGGGAGAGATTCCACCTGCTTTACCCACAATCACGAAGTAACTGTTAAGGGATGTTTCCTATTCCGGGCTTAGTCTCTCAACTATGGGGCTCACCGTCTGAGGGTTTGGCCTTTACTCATGATTATCACAGTCTCATCTACCCCACCATGGAGCTAACTTAAGGTTACCTCCCAACGAGGGACTTGCAATGTCCCAAACCACAAAGTGCCTTGCTCGACTGAGGGAATGCACACTTGACTGCTCTCATCTGGACCTCCTTCCCGTCCCCCACCATCCTCACTCTTTTACTTGTCCTGCACATGTTAGAGTGTATCAAGTTATCTTCCTTATACACTACCAGCTCTTAGACTCTAAACATCCATGGGCAGCGGAAGGGTCTTCTTTATCTTAGCATCATCACTACCAGCACAGAGCCTTGCAGAGAGCAGATGCTCAATTAATGATGGAAATAAATGAGCCACTGATCAAAGAATGTAATTTATTACTATTTAATTTTATATGCATTCTTGAAATAGATTATAGACAACCAGATATATATCTTTGAGTTTTACAAAAAGATAGACAAAAGTGAATAGTGCAAACAAAAAATTGACTATATTTTGCTTTGTTTCCCTCTATTTTAAGACTCCAATTACATTTAGTGGGGTTCTTTTACACATTTCCAATAAAATCCCCATTCCAAAGCCATAAATTTTCTTTTTCTTGAACCCCAAGAAGATTCAAAGATTTTCAAAATTACAGAATATCTAAACTCTTCAAAACCTGATAACAGCAATAAATGTGTGATCTGTATCATTCATAAACACAGACTCTGAATCTAAAAAAAAAATTCTACTAAAATAACAGTATTTGAAAGATACTAATGTAAAACAAGAACAAGAAGATATATATTATGATCTCTTTGGCCCCATCTCAGCCTCTCCCTACTTAAGAGATTGGAAGCCCTCTTCAATAACAGAATCTGCCTCACACGTCACTGGGGCAGGAGGAGCTGTCAGATGTAGGCCTAGAACATGTACTGCCCTTGGCAGAAGTGCCATGCATGGCTGCAGCTCTGGCTGAGGCTTTTTCTTTCTCATCTCTCAAAGCCTCTTCATAATGGAATGGGAAGGCACTAGGGCTGGTATTATTAAATTGGGCCAAAAACTCCAGGACTTTCATCTTGCTGGTTTCAGCATGGGCTCTTGGACCCCACAGGAACTGATAGCGTGGAGGATCACTGTTGGGCACCTGCTGGTACTCCAGGTACCTTTCCTTCACCAGATCTTGGGTGATGAGCTTCCTGGCATCCCCAAAGATGAAGTGCCTCTTCCCATCATAGACTCCCAACAGATTCAGGAATTCCCACATCTCTTCCTCGGAGGCGCAATTGCCACTGAAGAAGATCACACCCAGCAGAGGCATTAGAAGCCCATTCCTGGGAAAGCCCGAGGAACCACTCAGGCTCCCATCATCGTTGGGATTTAGCTTACTAACAAGGGTATAGGAGTGATTTCTGGGGTTGACTTCCTTCAGGTCAAGGCCAAAGACCAGCTCCATGTGCCTAGAGGCTCTCTTGAGGATCTCAGGGAATTGCTCCCTGTACCTTTTGTGGACAACCTTTAGCATCTCTGCCTTCATAATGGGCTCTTTCATTTTATACTTGTACAGCAGGAACTGCATCAGCGTTCCTGCCTTCCTGGTTAGAAGATCATGGTGTGAGCTCTCAGTGGAGGTTGAGGCCTGGGAGGAATTTTTTCTTCCCTCACCTTTGCCCTTGGCACCTTTATCAGATCTCTTGCGGGAAACACCCACAGCAGCAGTGGGAGTGTGGGGGGCTCCCTGAGGCTTCTGGGGAATGCCATCAGCAGGGGAGCCAGGGGGAGTGACCCCCAAAACAGGAGAGGAAGAGGAAGGGGACTTTTCCTCTGGTGCAGTGGCCTGAGCACCCTGAAGATCCTGGGTCTCACTTTGGGCCTGGCGGCGTTTCTCCCGGGCTCGGAGCTTACTCTTTCGACCCCGAGGCATGATGACTGTGGTCAGAGACAGCAGGCAGGGATGTGGGCAGGAAGTCAGGTGACGTGGGCACCTGGAGGAGAGAGGATGAGATCTTGTGAGCACCTTTAGCAAGGAGATATCACCTTGGATTTTAAGAAGCCAATTCTGCAGTTTCCCTTGAGAGTACTAGGAACACATTGGGCTCTTTTTCTTTGTCAGCCTGTCCTCTGGGAACCCAGAGGAGGAAGTTACAGTGTGCCTTAGGCCATCCCTTATTTGGGGCTGACTGGGTCACAGCAAGACCCGGCAGAGTGGACTCCCTCTGTGTTCAAGGGTCCTCTCAGTTTGCATATGGCATCATCATCATCATATCTGTTCTGTGCTGTTGTGATGGTGACACCTCAAAGATCTTTGGGACCCATGAGAAGGAAATGAGGTGTCTTAGTCCACCACTTCTGTGGGGTCTGGAGGCAGTGCTAAGAGTTTTGTGGGGCCCTCTGTCTTGGGATCATTGGCCTTCAATCTTCATTCAGAGTCCTCATCTTGTCTACATCTAAAGTTTGAAATTCTCCCTTCTGCTGACTGATGCTGCATCTTCAGACCAAGGCTCTCACCTCCCTTAGACCTAATACAAAGAAATGAGGAGAAGTCTCAGCCTGACGACCCTGGGCCAGGATGCCAAGTGCTGAGTGCAGAAACAGGGCCCTACTCTTTGTTGTTCCCTCTATTTGGGGTGAGGAGTGGGAGTTGGGGAAGTGGTACCTTCTGTCCTCACCCATGATCCATACTTTTACTCCTGGGACAGCCTTGGGCTCCCCTCTCCAGACCTAAGGACATCTCTCCTCATACTAAGGCCCACACCTCCCTGAAACCCAATGGAAGAAGTGAAGATGGCAATATCTGAGCACACTGTCTATTCTCCAGAGGTTGAAAGCTGTGGCTGGCAGGTTGAGGCTCAATGATGTGTGGTCCCATTCATGGTCCTCATTCCAGGTCTCCAATTTGTCTCCTGGAAAGACCTAAAATTCCTCCCCCTTGCAAATTCATCAGACTAAGAGCATCACTTCTCTGTTACTCCTGAAGAGGAACTGAGGAACACTTCTCCCTGACATCTATGCTTGTAGCCTCTCAGGGCTGACACAGAGAGGGACTCTGGTACCCCCGCTGACATGGGGTGGGAGTTCCTTGAAGTCCTCAAGGTTTTCTCTCTGAGTTCTGGCACAACCTGGAAATCGTCTCTCTATTGACGTGTGGCCCCTTGCATCAGATTAAAATTCTGACCTTCCTCAAACCCTAAGATGAAAGAAAGCATGCGTCACGTCCAGCAACCCCTGTCCTCTATAAGACCCCACTACTCTGGGGTCTTTGGTCTCTTTAGTCTTTACTCAGGCAACATCTGAGCCTCCCTCATCCCACCTGACTCTGTCAGCTTCACATCAAGGCTCTCAACTCCCCAAGTCCCCAGGGCTGGATGTGAGGAAGTGATACATTTGGCTACCTCTGCCTGGGGTTTCCCAGGGCTGAGGGGGGGGGGGACTTTGTGGACCACCACTCTCTAGGTTGGTGTTCATCTCAGTCCTCCCTCAGTGTCCTCCCTGTCTTGACCTAATGCCTATCTGCTCATACTAAGACACCCAACTCCCTGAGACACCTGGGGTTTCCCGGGGGTGGGGGGGGGGGGGACTTTGTGGACCACCACTCTCTAGGTTGGTGTTCATCTCAGTCCTCCCTCAGTGTCCTCCCTGTCTTGACCTAATGCCTATCTGCTCATACTAAGACACCCAACTCCCTGAGACACCCTGAGAAGAAGTGAAATTTTTCTCATCTGGCCACGACTATCCATGGTCTCCTAATGCAACAATCAGGAAGGGATTCTGTGTTACCCTCACTGTTATGAGATGGGTGGTCCCCTCAGTTCTCAGGATCCTCTCCTTGACTCCTGGCACTAGCTGGGAATCCTCAATCTGCTAACCTTAAGGTGTCTACCTCAGTGAAATTCCTCACCTCCCTGAGATGCTCTAGGAAGAAGTGAGATTCGTCATGTCATCATACCCAGATCTCCCAAGTTTTGCAGTAGGAACAGAACTCTACGTGGGTCACTTCTTTCTGGGAGGGGTCCCCTCATACTCAGTATCACCATCTGGGCTCCTGTTAGGAACCAGATCTTCTTATTCTGAATGGAGGCTGTCTCACTAAACTAAGGGTATTTATGTCCCTGAGACCACACCCAGAGAAAATGAGGGGACACCTCAGCCTGAGAGCTCTAACCCTGGCTTCTCAGTACTGAATGCAAAGGCAAGACTCCGTGTTCCCCTCTGTTCTGGGATAGGTGGCTGCCCCATTCCTCACACAGGATTTGTACCTTGACCTGTCATGGCCTAGGACTCTCCACCTCTGCTGAACTGGCACAGCCAGCCCTTCACCTTAAACTGAAGCTCTCATCTTCCTAAGACCTTGCAGGCAGGAGTCCGGGGTATCTAAGTCTGCCAGCTCTGGCCTGGGACTCCCAGGAGCAGCAACAGGTGAAGCTCTCTCCACTGTGTAGCATCCCATTTCCTCACTCAGGGTCTTCATCTTGACTCTGCATACTTTCTTGGACTCCACCCTCTGTTGTCTGGAAGCCACACCACTCAGACAAAGATTCTCATATTCCTTGGACCTAAGTTGACAGAGTGAGCCACATCTTGCCAAGGCTCCTTGGGACCTGTGCTTGCTGACAGCAGGGGTGGGACTCTTAGGATCCCACTGTTCTGGAGTCTGTGGCTCTCTCAGGTTTCACAGAGGACTTCAACATTAGTGCCTGGTAAGATTTATGACCCCTCTATATACTGACCCGAGTCCACATGTCTCAGACCAAAGCTCTCATCTCTGAATCACTAGAAGGGAAGTTGGGGTGCTCCACATCTGGGCACCTTGCCTGGGGCTCCCAAGTTTGAGAACAGGGCCCAATTTTGAGAAAACATCTGCTCATGAGCACTGAAAGTCCTAATTTTAATCTTTATACGGCCAAGACTCTCCCTCTACAAAGGGGGCTGTCCTCTTTAAACTAAGGCCTTCTTCTCCCTGAGGCCTTCAAGGCTGAAATGACACAGATCCTCAGTCTTATAGCTCTGGCCCAGGGCCTCTCAGGGCCGAGTGCACAGGCGGGACTTAGTGCGGCCCTGTTTGTTGTGGGTGAGCGGTGGTCCCCTCAGTCCACATTTAGGGTCCTCACCTTGACCTCAGACCAATTCTGGGAAGTCACCCTTGGCAGACTGGACTACACGCCTCTCAGATGCCACCTCTCAGAGAAGTGGAAGCAATAGTGAGCCACATCCAGCTGTGGCTGCCCGGGGTCTCCCAGGGCCAACCGCAGGGACGGGACTTAGTGAGGGCCCGCCTGATTGTAGGTGCGTGGTGGCACCCTCAGTCCACGTTTAGGGTCCTCACCTTGACTCCAGACGACTCCTGGGAAGTCACCCTCTGGAGACTGGATGCCCGGCCTCTCAGATGCACTGCTTCTCAGACACCCCGCCTCTCAGACTCCACCTCTCAGACGTGCTGCTTCTCAGACACGGTGCCTTTCAGAGAAGCGGAAACAAGGGTGAGCGACATCCAGCTGTGGCTGCCCAGGGCCTCCCAGGCAGAAATCATCATGTCGAACGGATACCTGCACTCCCATGTTCATCGCAGCTCTGTTTACAATAGCCAACACATGGAACTAACCTAAATGTCCACCGATGGATGACTGGCTAAGGAAACTGTGGTATATATACACCATGGAATACGACTCTGCCATAAAAAATAATGAAATACTCCCATTTGCAGCAACATGGATGAACCTGGAGAAACTTACGTTGAGTGAAATAAGCAAAGCACANAAACTACACTGAGATACCACGTCACTCCTGTTAGACTGGCTATAATCAAAAAGATGGTGAATAAAAATTGCTGGTGAGGGTGTGGAGAGAACGGAACACTCCTACACTGTTGTTGGGAATGTAAATTAATATAAACACTATGGAAAACAATATGGATGTTTCTCAAACAACTACAGATAGATATTCCATACAATCCAGCAATCCAGCTTCTGTGTATATACCCAGAGGAATGGAAATCATCATGTCGAAAGGATACCTGCACACCCATGTTCATCGCAGCTCTGTTTACAATAGCCAAGACATGGAACCATCCTAAATGTCCACCGATGGATGACTGGCTAAGGAAACTGTGGTATATATACACCATGGAAT